ACGTTTTGATCAGAAGCAACAGGAGCTCCGCCGGCTGTGAGGGCTTGATCCCGATCCTCACACAGAGAGAGAGAGGGAGAGGGAGAAACCGGTGCCTCCTCCTTTGCTGGCCGAATTCGCTCCTTCCACGACATTTCTTCCGGCCCGGTCGGAAGTTACAATGTTTTGAGTGGAAACAACAACTGGAACTCAAAGGCTGTGAAGGTAACTTTGCTCCCTTTCATGTGCTTCTCAGCCAAATCCCATAAATAAAAAAAAAAAAAAAATATATATATATATATATATATATATATATATATATATTATAATAATTATATATATATATATAATAATATATATATATATATATATGTATTTATTATTTAATTATATTAATATTAATTAATGATAATTAACTTTAATTAATTATATTAATTATAATTTAATTATTTTAATTATAATTAATAAAGGAAAATGATAATTTTTAATTAATCATGAATAATTAAATTTATTCATAATTAATTATTTCATTTTTTATATTAATTATCATTAATTTAGTTAATTATAATTAATTAAATTTAATTATTATTAATTATAGTTAACTAATGTTCATCTAATTAAATATACATGCATAAAATGCTTGTCCTCGCTGCTTCGATCTACGTGCCATCTACGTGCCAACACCGTCAAAGCCCGTGAAGGTACGAACTTTCTAAACTCAGATCCTCGCTTCCGTTGTGTGCGGCGGACCGGAAAACTGCCTATACACTTTATTGCGCGTGGTGGGATGGGACCCCGGTCCGACGCCTACGACGAGGCGGGAATGCCTAAGCTCTACTTCGGGTTCGTGGCGCACCGGAAAACCGCCTATACATGTCTTTATTGACATGGTGGGAAGGACCCCGGATGCAGCACCTACGCGAGGCGGGGTCACTCATAAGTACACTCGAGCGGGGGAAAGCAAACTGTGCATTTTTTAAACAGGTACCATCGAAGCCCGCGAAGGTACGAACTCTCTAAACTCAGATTCTCGCGTCGTTGTTTGCAGCAGACCGGAAAAAACTCATATGCACGCCTTTATGTGCGTGGTGGGATGGACGTCGGTCTGATGCTTACGACGAAGCGAGCAATCGCCTAAACTCTACTTCGGCGGTTCGTGGCGCACCTGGAAAATCGCCTATACACGCCTTTATTGCGCGTGGTGGGATGGGACCCCGGTGCGGCACCTACGGCAAGGCAGGGCATTTATAAGTACCCCCGAGTGGGGGAAAGCAATTGTGTCATTTAAACAGGTTCCGTCAAAAGACCCCATACACGCCTTTATTGCGCGTGGTGGGAGGAACAAAAAATCACGGCCGCGGTGTCCTCGTTAGAGGACACCTACCATACACGCCTTTATTGCGTGTGGTGGGAAAGGCCCAGTTTCTCGTAGTTTTCCCCTAAACGGGGGAGACGCCGAGAGGCTGCCGAAATTTCGTGTGAAATATTGCTACGCTCGGACCTGTTTGAACTTAAAAGGAACAAAAGTTGGGACTCAAATGAAATAGAACAGAGGGCTCATGGACTGTGGACTTGAACTTGAACAAATTCAAATGACTCCTAAAGACCAAGTTAAATGAAATAAATCAAAGTTGAAACTAAATTCAAATCAAGTCAAATATGAAATTATAGATGCAAGAACTATCAGGCGACATAATGACAAGAAGTGACAGTTCAGTGTCAAACAAATGCAACAAACTCTTACAATAGCTCCTACAAAGTTAAATGCAATGTACTCACAAGGACAACGAATGGTTATTTAATGTGTATGTCCCCCAAATACACCATTAAAACCTCCAATGCTAGCAATATTGCCTGTAGATTGAGAAGGCAGCATTACTACTTGATAGTAGAAGATCCGTCCTTGCAAGCAAGTACAATCGCCGATATGGTACTTGGTGTAAATGACTTTCCTAGGGCATCTTTAAAAGACCGTATCAAATTATGATCCGTCTCTACAAAATGCAATCAGTAGACCACCTGAGATTGGTGAAAGGTGTTTCAATTGCAAAAGTAAGGTTCTCCTACGAATACTCCTAGGAACTCGTAGCTGATACAGCGGTCCCCTGCAAATGACTACAAGCCACTTGTAGATAACAACAGTAAGAACCTTGTAAGTGTAGCGAACCGTTGTGAGCACAAGTGTAGATATCACCTATGACAATGATGATCAAAAGTGCTGTCAGTACACCAAGTATAAAGGCAATCCGATGTACGAAAGAGGACACCCCCTGGTAAAAGGAAAAAAGATGTCCGAAATCTCTTCTTAGCTCTATACTTGAGAAGAAAACAATTCTGGTGTCCACAAACACCGAAAATAATAATTCTACTACACTAAAGAGCCTGATAATTATCACAAATTTCAAGAAAGACCTTCCCCCGGTGAACGAGAAGGGGGGAGTCAACATCAAGACGAACGCCACCGGATCCGCAACTTCTATGTAAGCGGACAGAAGGCGTCAACAAAGTCTTGAAATAAATACCCCTGCACGTGCACTATAAATTGTATACACATAGGTACACTAAACGGGAAAGTACAATCTCAACCCGCATGGGCCCCGACGAGCTTTTTATTGGTACACACGTGACATCTAGGGATGCTGCGCGGGTTATTAAGTGAATTCTAGTTCGAACCCGATCCTTCTATACGGATCAATAGGAGTCGACAGGGTTCGAACCGTCAAACAAATATACGGTTGTGGCGACCGTCATATTTGTCTTAATACATTCATATTAGGCCTTCAAGACCTATAACAATAAGAATTCACTATCAAGGGCATAAAGCCTACAAAATCCGATCCTCGATCAATAGCTTGATCGAGTTGACAGGGTTCAATCAACAAAAAGAGAAAATGACCCCAAACACCCCGATGATGGCTGTGTTGAATGCAGATCTCAACCGGAGGGGTTCCCCAAATATTTTCAAATATCTCCCAAATATCCAAAGTTTTATTTCAAATATTCCAAAGCTCCACCTAAAATTCCAAAAAAATCCCAAATATTCCAAAGCTCTATCCAAATATCCACAAAAATCCAAAAATCCCCAAAATCCAAAGCTCCACAAAAAGCCCAAATTCCATATATTTAAAAATGAAATCAATCCATCAACACACTTAAAGCAAAATCCATCCACCCTTCCACAACGGTCTGTCGGGTGGACATATTTCAAAATAAACTCAGCTCACAAAGAGCCAAATGTCTAGTCGAAATATCATTAGATACATTCTCAAACAATCTCTTGCCAGTAAGGACGTGTACGTGTCCTCTAACCGGCAGGTTCGCCGCCAAATGGCACTGCAGTAAACGGTTATGACCCGGGGCCCTCTGAACCGAGTGTTTTGCGCCAAAATGGCACCACAGATAGCGGTTATGGCCAAAGCTAATACGCTCCTTAATGACGTTAAATCCTTGAGATATGAATCAATAGAATATGATTGATTGGGCACAAAGCCCTCTGTAAGCTAGGTGGATTCAATTTGTCCCCTTAGACAAACATCCAACCCAGGTCTACAAGGTACCCTTGGACGAAGCAACCCATGGCTGCCGACAAGGATCTTTCTGTCAGGTTGGGTCGACTACCTCCTCTGACTAAGTAGACCAGGACCACGATGGCCCGGGACGACGGAACCATGGGATCTTAATCGGGTCTATCATCCATTCCCCCACCATCCGATTTAAGTATAAGATGGTGCAATTTTTAGTTTTAAATATCAAAATTTTCCAAATTCTCAAACTTCCAAAAATTTCAAATACCTAAAACCTATGCTGCTACTATATGCCAGATACACGTATTCTCTACGTATCTAGATTGACGACTAGCCTTAATCGAAAGTCTCTCTTGTTATCGGGAGGGGTAATTAACTATAGGGGCTTGCGCCTATAGGAAACCAGAACTCAGATCATAAAGTCCTCGCAAAATGAGGGCGAAATCTCTGGGTAGTGTCTTATCTACAAACCCATCTGCCTTCCAAAATTTACCCCGGAACTTATTCGGTTAAAACTCCCTTGCTCAAATAAAAAGAAAAGCGCGGCGGGGAGGCCGGGGCCGAATTTTCGGAGCCCACAATATAACATAGTTTTGAATTAAATTTTTTCTTAATTAATTGATTTCTTAATTAATTAAATTTAAAAATGCAATCAACTAAAAAAAAAAAGAAAAAAAGGAGAAAGATCATAAACTAATGGTTACACTAAAACATACAACAGCTCTCAAACTAAAACTCAAACAAAAACAAACTCAAACACAAAACTCAAATTTGAATAGCAGATAAATTATTCTTATGTGTTTGCCATTTCAGTTGTTTCTTTCATTTCTTAAGCCACTTCCAGTGTATTTTTTCACTTGTCTTTGGGTTTTTGTTTAAGATCACCTGCGTTTGCTTAAAATGCCATTCCTCATCTTCATATGTTGAATGAAGATCTGGGATTCGTTTGGTGAAACTTCCTTTTGATTTCAATGTACTAATTGCAACTAAAAAGTTTGTTTCAATCTACATTCTTGTTTGCAAAGCTGTTGATATGTTAAGTAATAAATATAATAGTCACATTAGATTAAGTGAGTCGACCATTATGGGTCTTTGCATTTCATCGCTAGTTAGCCTGATTAAGTTGTTATTATGTGCTTAGTGACACACTAGAAGTCTTTGTTATTCTATAAATACTTTCTCTTGGAGAGAATTAGGATATGCAATATGAATACTTCCTCTTGGAGAGAATTGGGATGTGCAAGATAAGTGAAATAAGCTTTGGGCTCCTCTCTCCCTCTCAATGAATATCTGGAATTAAGAGCACCATCAAATTTCGCTTCTTTTCTTCCTCAATCGCAAACTTGCAGAATATTCTTTTTGGTCTCTGTTATCTTCATTTCATTTTTAGGTTTGCAGCATAGTATTTTCCGCTTTCGCAGGTTGAATTGCTTGTCATTCAAATTTGAAGAGCAGAGTTTTCGTGACACAATATGTTCCTATGTTCTCTTACCGCAGATGAGATGGATTGGGATAAGAATGGAATGGTCACCTTCAAAGAGTTCCTTTTTGCTTTCACCAGATGGCTGGGGATTGGCGGCACTGAAGAAGAGGAAGAAGAATGAATGACTACGCTTGCATATTATCCTCAATATTTAGCAAAGTTTGCCTTTGTTTGAAGCACAAAACACATGGAAATGGGCATAACCTCTTCAATAACCAGTCAGGAATCCAATCAATGAATTATAAAACTATGTATGGTTCAATTGATTTGTCATTTGTATCTCCATCTGAACAGAATAGAAAATTAAAGAAATCATCAAGTTGCTTCCTTTTGTTCTGCTGCAGGCCTTGAAGACATCTGCTTCAATCTTTATAACCTTGGGTACTGCAGATTCTAAATAACTGTTTTTATAAAAGAAATGAATAATTATCCATCTACACTTTTGGCTTGTTTTGTTAGCACCATTTATTTGTTTTACTTGACCACAACAGCTGAAAAATAAATTCTGCTATGGTTACTGTGTTGGATTTTATTATTATTTTTACTGTGTTGGATTTGATGCCTAAATCTCTGTACAGTTTTCTGGATAATCGATTTGTTTAGAAACACATTTTTAAAAATAAAACATTTCAGATGAATTTTTTAAACGCTCAGAAAAAAATGAACATTTAATCATGATGGATTCTAAAACTCAACATTTTAATGGGTGTAATGGAAAGAATGATTAATTATTCATACAATATATTCATTGTGAAATAAATTTATAATTTTAAATTTTTATTTTGATATCATGCTGCCCCTACCAATGCATGACCCCCCTCCATTTCATTACCTTGTTCACTTACTCAACCACTCCCACTGGCTCTGCTGCTCCTTCATTCTCGTTGCTCGTAGCCAAAGTTTACCATTCAATGGCAGAGACCCAAGGAGGCATGCAGGAACTTGCTGAGGAAGGTGAAACTCGCACGTGATGCTTGTGACATAATGGATAAGACCTGTGTGCTTTTTTAGCATGCTAAAGAATTTTAATTTAAGTACTTGTGCATGTTATTTCAATGTGGTGGAGAAATATTATAAATTGCAATGGTACATGAAGACCCATGCACGATTTTCTTAATATTATAGGATAGAAGCTTGATTGTGCTATCTCATGATGTCAATCTTGCAACTTTTTTTAAATGTGGTGGGAATGACTTGACCCTCTTGAAGACGCCCTTATACAAGGGAGTCTCCAGGAGGCTGTTAAAATTCAAAATGAACCTGATTTGCATAGAGCTTAGAAAATAATTAAATAACATAACCATTTGGAGTATACAAGCATACAAAATAATAAAATGAAAGAATTGAGCGAATACAAAGAAAAAAAAATGATTAAGAGATGAAAAATGTATCGCAATAATCGAACACAAACTAAACCTATGAGGAACTTGTAAGGAAATTGTGTGCTTATTTACGAGCATACAACTTTTTAACTGCACTTAAAATAAGTTTTCTAAATATTTAGCATTAATAAGAACATACTCGATGAGTTGAACTTTGACTGAAAATGAACTAGAATAAGCTTCTATTTAGGCCCACATGAATAAAATGCAAATAATATATTGATTAATTATGCTATTTTAAAACCACATGAAGGATTACAACTTGTGATACTCATAAGTAGATTTGCAAAATGTGTTCAAGAGGATATAATGCGAGCAATAATGAATTTAAAATAAAAGTCACATGCACATTTCAATGAAAATGCATTCACATGAACAACTACTATATCAGACATTCTCAAATAGTTGCATTCATTGGCATGATTTTCAAACAAAATAGAATTGCCCAATATATTGCACATCATGGTTTGCATATCCTAAGTGAGGCCCATGTTAAGGAGCATGTGTGTCCCCTGCGAATAAATTGTCCTGTATGTGAATAATGCGCCCCGTGAACGAATATTTTTCAAGTGACATAAAGTAGTATAATGTTGCATCTCATGGGTCATGTGAACATTTTGATTGGGTGTGTATGTTGTGTTAAATTACATAATATAAATTTTGTCGGTGTATTCCCAAAATGCACTATACAAACATATAGAAAGAAATGTAAAAGTATTATTCAAATACATAGAAATATGTGTAAGTGTTGATGCGTATGCTAGCGCACAGTGTAAGTGCATTGAAGATCATACAAGTATGTAGGTGCATGACATAAGAGCATCAAGAAACTGCAAGCGTGTCATGCAAGTGCACTAAGAAATATGCAAGTGTAATATGCAATGCACCATAACATGTGCAAATATGCTTTGTAAATACATCAAAGTGTGCACTACATATCAAATTACCTAAAATATTATGTGAATACCCATATGTGTCAAATAAATGCATTAGCATCCAAAGTTGTATATCAAAATTTGTGTAGGTTAAAAATAAAGATGAGCCCAAGCTTCTCCCATTTTGAAAGTGTGTAATTATCATGTAAATCTACAATTATTTTCAAATGAACAGCCCTTTTTAAAATCAAATGTGTCTACATGTGCTCCAATTAATATGTTAAAACTTGAATTTAATGTTTGAGAATGTTGCACTCCACCTTGAGAGTCATGTAATTAACTTTTGAAAAATGTTCTATCACTTTTTAAAACGAGTAAATTCTCTCTTTCAATTATTAGATTCACTGACATAAATACATGATGCTCTCAACCACGCAACTCTACTTAATTGTGAGAACAAGAGCTGAAAAGATTTGAACCTCATATGAAATTTTTGAATAGTTAAGTCTTTAATGATTTACAGTAAATCCTATTATCACGAATGAACCTACAACTGTAAAAAAAAACTAGTGATATTTTTTTTTTTTTATATTCACATTAGGTTTTTAATGACTTATACAAAAAAAAAAAAAATCATTAAATAATACATACTCTCTCAATTTCATCACTCATACGGTAGCTAGCAAAATTAATATTTGAATATAATCTTTTATTTGCAAGCATGCGGAGTTGAAAATATTCAAGTAACAAAATAAAATTATTAAAAAATCTTGAAGATGACTATATTAATCAAAGATGACCTTACTTTCAAAAATTCCCTAAGACACCAATACAAACCACCTTAGAGATATATGCTAATGAATGAATTCAAAAGTATAATAATTTAAAAAAATGTGAAAATATTTGAAGTGAGATACAACACCCACACTCTTAAAGTAAACATTTATCCATCCTTTATAATCATTAACAAGGGTAACAAATTTGAGATAACATCAATCATAAAAAGATAATGTACTTGTTGCGTCCTGGAGTATTCGCGGTGATAGAGAAATATATGGTTTAACGTCTTAGCATTGTACGAAGATCCAGCACACAAACAGATAAGAGGGGGTGAAACATTCATAAGAGACACCAGATTTTTTACGTGGAAAACCCCTAAAAAGGGGAAAAATCACGGGGCCTGGCCCAGTTTGAATGGATCCACTAGTATTTGTAGTCGTTACAAATGAGGCTCTTCCTTGGGAGAAGGCCTTGGATTGATGTAGCAAATGTACATCATACAGATTGCATTACATAGTAGGAATTACATATACATGTTTGTCTGGTCAGAAGGACCGTAGTCGGCAGGAGACCGGGGTCAGAAAGACCATTGTCTGTTGATGGAGGTCGGAATGACCGTAGTAGGCGACGAAGGCCTGAAGGACCGTAGTCGGTAGGAGACTGAGGTCTAAAAGACCGTTGTCTTGTGATGGAGGTCAGATGGACCGTAGTAGACGACGAAGGTTAGAAGGACCGTTGTAGTAGGGCGGTACTTTGGTAGAACTCTGGACGTCAGGTAGTGGCTCAGCAAAAGTCCAGGCCTCAGGTGGTGTTCCGACAAAGCAACGACGTCAGGTGATAGTCTAGCGGAGGAGCGGGCTTTTGGAGAAGATGAGGGCCTCTGGCGAAGGTGAGGGCCTCAGGTGAAGGTGAAGGCCTTAGGTGTTGGTGAGGGCCTTTGACGAATGTGAAGGCCTCATGTGATGGTGAGGGCCTTTGACAAATGTGAAGGCCTCATGTGATGTTCTGGTGGAGCATACGGGCTTTGATGATAATCTAATGAAGATAAGGGCCTCTAGCAAAGGTAAGGGCCTTTGGAGTGGGTGAAGGCCGCTGGTAAAAGTGAGGGCCTCTGGCAAAGGTTAGGGCCTCTGATGAAGGTGAGGGCCTCAGATGAAGACGTCAGGCCTGAAAGTCGGGCCTTGAGCAGAATGTTGGGTCTGAATGTCAGGCCTTCAGTAGCACGTCGGGCCTGAACATCGGGCCTTGAGATGGTGGTGCGGCGAAACTTCGGCGGTAGTCCGGCGAGGCTTCGACGGTTATCCGGCGAGGCTCCGACGGTGGTCCGGCGAGGCTCCGATGGTGGTCCGGCGAGGCTCCGGTGGTGGTCCAGCGAGGTTCCGGCGGTGGTCGAGGAGGAGCTTCTTCCT